AGGCTCCGTCCGTTTTTGCAGAGCATCCATGTGCAGCCGAACTGGGGTTCGTTCGTGCGCAGTCTGAAAAGACTCCTCCTTACATGTTTGACATAGGGTCATGTTTTTTTGCCTAACTTCCCTTACCTGCAAAAATAGCCCTTAGAAGCCAGAATGCCGTAAATTACAGAACTTTCGGCTTTCCGGAATGTGACAAAACGCAGGGCGGCAGGTCAGCCAGCTACCTTGTTTTTGGAGCTGTGGCATTTGATGGATGTTGATCATATGTTGAGTTGGCTTTGTTCGGTTTGGCTGGCAGGCACCAGCTTTGTCTACACGTCGGGAAATCACGATTGGCTGTTGGAGGGCCAGCAAGGAGCTTCTAGTTACGATGCTGCCCGAGACTTGGGTGGCATTCAGCCAGATGACTGCCTTGCTGGATGTTCGCCTTTCGGCATCTGCCAGGAATACCGGAGCTGGCATCAACTCTCAGGCTGGACTTACACCATAGGGATGCAGAGGGCACAGGAGAGCTACAGTACCAGTATGTACCAGTATGACCCAGTATGTGCTGAAGGCAGCGCCTAGGGGACGTCCACGTTTCTTGTCTCTCAGGCCGTTCTACGAGCAGAGCCTTTCAAACGGAGGGTCGTGCTATATGTCTTTGGGCGACTGGAGTCGGCCCGGTGCGGGTATCCTGTATGGTTGCACAATGGTGAAGGGGCTATTGTTGCTTTTCATCGACAACTCCAACTACCAAGTGGACGCGGACCAGCTGGAATTCACCCGCCTACAAGTTGAAAGCGCGAGCAAAGACACTCCCATCGTCATTTTGTTGCACATCCCGTTAATGCTTCCGGGCGCGACATTGGCGGCAAAAGAGCTTTGTGGTCATGCGCAATGGGGTGCTGCGACTGACACAGTCGCTTGATTGCCCTTGTGCAGGCGTGCATGTTCGTTCAAACAAGCATTGGTCATGGCAAATGTGCACCTGTGACTATCTGAGTTGTGGCAAGTGGAGGGCCGGCCAAGATGGCCGGCCGGCAACTTGCAAAGCACTCTTGACTTCAGGGACTTGCTGCAGGCGAAGGCTGCCCCATCAGGTCCCGTGGTAGCTGTTCTCTCAGGCAGGGGCACTCAGATGGGCAGGAGGCAAAGCCCCAGCTGCCGTAAGCATGTTTGCCAATCGGCTTTTCACATGCTCGGCCCTGTAGGGCACACGCACGAGGACGCGGTCGTTTCCCTTAGCCTGCCTGCAGATGCCTGTGAACCATCGGGTCGATCCTGGACGGTGCGTTCAGAGGCCTGCTGTTTCCGTATGGTCAAACCGCTTTGCAGTGGATCACAAGCAGCCCATGCTTTGCGAGGGCGGACGCGAGAAGACGCAGGAGGCAGCGTGGCTTCACTGCTTAGATTCAAACTAAGATATATCGCTTTTCCAAAGGGCAAATGCCCATAGGTCTCACGGTCAGCGAATTCGTGAAGGTCATGTTCGTAGCCTCGATTTCTCAATGTCTCGATGTCTCCAAAAAAGCCTTTCTTTTTGGCCGTTGTTTTTTTCGCCAAGGATTAGGCCTAGACACGCTTTTCCGCATACCATCACGACTAGGGCGATCTCTGCTGGCTTGTGTCGTGGGTAATAATTAGCCGTTTACGATGACAAGTGGTTGCGGCACATGATTCGCAGGTTTCTGCAGCCCTCCAGTACACCACGCATACTGCGGCAGAAGGGGCCTACCGGGTCCTCACCATTTATTGACAACGATGGATGATTCTGCAGCAGCGTGCCGGTAGAAGGTCTTCGAAAACGAGTGTAACTGCAATGCGTCAGTCGCAATTCTGATGAGCCAGTTGCCGCAATCCTGCTGCTCACAGGCTTTGCGGACATGGTGCTTTGCTCTGTGCTGAGACCACCCTCTGGTTGTTCAACTTTCGCCCCTGTTGGTTTTCCTTCAAGCCCACATCCGTCTACGCCGCCAGAACATGAAGGACATAATGCGCAATGGCATGGTTATACATATATACATATATACACACACACACACACACAGAGACACACACACACACACGTGCGCGGAGAGGACGAAAGAGGGGATACATCGTGGTCTCTTCATGTCTTGATGTGACGGTCAGACCATTGCAGCATGTTGTGCTGTGGATGAGACGACTTCATGAGTCCATCTGTCAAAGTTTCAATTTTGTACCACATCTCGCTTCCAATGCTTCGGAGAAGTGCAGCCTTGCTGCCATGCTCGGCCTGAATACCTTCCTCAAGCAAGGCCGCTTGCTTGCTAGCAGAACTTGGTTAAGCTTGGGTATATTCATAGTAAAATTGGGCCCAATCCTTGTGCTTTATATAACCAGATACGATCGGTCAAGGAATCTTTGCCACTTATGTTGCGCTTTGGACCTCATCGCACTTGTTGGTCTACTCAAGCCAGCTTGCATCTGCCCCATCGTACAACGCGACATCTGTGGTGATCCTGACGGAGACCTTGAAGTTAATCCTGGCCACTGCCATGTTTGTGGTCGGCTGCCCAGTCCGCCCAATGAGGGATGCACTGCAATAGCAATGGAGAGGCGACATTGAGCATAGTCAGTGTGATGAGGCCTACGATGGCCCCCTGTCTGAGATGCTGCGTGTGACCTGCAAGCAACACCGCGTTCTGCTGAAATACGCCATACCGGCTCTGCCGCTGAGCTTGACATTTCGATGCTAGCAATTTCGTAGAACATGCCCGGCAGAAAGATATCATGCATCCGTTTTCCCCTGCGATGTCGCGTATTTCCAGAGCTAGCTTTGATTGAAGTGTATTCCTGCTGTAGGAGCTTTTCACGAGGCTGTATGCTCTTTACAACAACTTGCTTTATGTGAACCTTGCCGCCTTTGACCCTGGCACGTACAACGTTTTGCTTCAGCTCAAGATTGCACTTACCGGCGTGCCGCTTTTCCGCGATATGGTCCGGCTTATTCCATGCACAAACCTGGCAGCCTGAACCTTCGAGAACACTGACTAGTGTCGTGGTAGCACCGCTTCGTGGACACCAGACCTGGGTAGGACCTCGTTTGGAAAGCAGTCAGGTTAGGACCTCGAAGCTAGGACCTAGGACATCCAAAGGCTCTACCAGTTGCTCTTCTCGCGCCAGCTGAATCGGAACCAGTGGCAAGCCATTCTGCTCATCACAGAAGCTTGGCCTTTCTATGTGGGAGGCGTGTGCTGCCGGCTGCATGTGCAAGGGTCATGCAGAGTCAAGGCATGTTGGGAACAGGAGCTCCGCAGGGTTTGGCTCTAGAACACGAACAC